TGCGTTTTAGTAAAACAGGAGCTTAAATTGACAGTAATGTGAAGAATAGCATAATTTATAATGAACTTGAAAGGCAGTAGCACTCACTGTTGCGCAAGCTAATCAAGGGACTATCACATCAAAGTTTGAACGTGAGCTTAAATATCTGTGGCAGGGAGGTTGTTCTTGCCGGTTTACATCTGTCAGGTCTTAACACTGAACCTGTCAGAGTGCAACACGGCCATGTCACTTTTAACCAAGATGTCACATGTCATAGATATTGTGGGAAACAACCTGCTTTGTGTTTCCTTCTCTAGGATTTTACAAGGAAAAGCAGATGTAAAAGGAATTTCTTTAACACTGCATTTTTATTTTGCAGATTCTCAGACTGATGGAGTGAGTGACGGAGTAGGTTGCCAACTGTAGTTGCTCCACTCAGCACAGAATGGCTGCGGGGAATATATTCAGACATTCCCAGAGAAGTCTGCCCAGGGTGAAACAAATACCTTTGAGGTTTAAATCAGGTGTGTGAAGAATGCGGGAAACATGACTTCTTAGGTTTTTGTTTTTGTTTTTGTATTTATGTTTCCCAAGGAAAGTGGTAGCTCTGGCCTCTTCTCCCAATTCTTTTAGCGCTATAAAACTGGCAGCCCAGAGTTTAACCTGCCCTCTCTCCCAGGATTTGATATATTCTACTCCACTGCCTCAAAGGGTCTTCTATTTTATCAAAGCTTTTGATTTTAAAGGCATAATTGTGATTTTTCATATTCAAAAAGGGTTTTGATTTTGGAGCTATTTTAAAATTGGGCATTGAAGTTTGATACACTTTACCATTTGTCTATTTTCTTAGAAAAATAAATGCTATTTATAATAAATTAATTAACGTGAGATACCTAAGAAAATTACATTCAAACCATCTTTTAAGATACTTGTTCATGTTATCTGTAAGAGGTTGTTCAGAGGCTCAGAAAAATCAAGCGAAGGTAACTGTTTTTAGAAAATGTAAAGCATACTTCCTTACAGGATGAAGTTGTGCTTAATAGCCTCTGTTTAATTTATTCAGAAACGACACGATTTTTGTTGCTATATTTTGTTAGAAAGGAAGGAGAGGCTGTTTCTACAGGTGTCATAGGAAAATCGATACTGAGCCACGGATTGTTGGATCCCATAGAACCATGGAGACTTGGCAGTGAAATTCTTCCAAAGGTGAGTAGGGGCATTGATTTTCCTTCTTGTCCCTGAAGAAATATGACACAAGGAATGAAGGCTAAATTTAGACTTGGAAACAAGTCTGATTTGAAACTATGCCTTTAAAAATTTGGTGACAAGTTTTTCAAAAATATTAAATGAGGCAATTGAATGAGAATTTGAGTATATAAATTTTTCTCAGATATTTTTCTTAGATTCACTTCTTTTCTTTATTCTTTTGGGTACTTTTGAGGGGGAAAAATGGCTCTTTGACCAACGTTTTATCTGTAATTCAGACCCAGTGATTTCCTGATGGAATACTTGTGTTTTACAATACAAAACAATCTCTTGCTTAAACCTGCCACCAAGAATGCAATAGTCCTTTAGTTTCTAAGAAAAAGCATATTATATACACAATCAAACTTCAAATTACTGAGCCCGTCACTGATCTTCCTTATTTAAACTGTGTAATCTTCCAGCTAACTTGTGCCTTAATTTTTAGACACATACTTGCTTATTTGTGTACTTATTTTACAGTTTCTTCTAGATTTCGAAAAGTTGAAAAGCTATACGTAATGTGTTGGTTGTTTTACCGCATTGCTTAGCATTCCATCCGTACAGGCAGACGGTGTTCCTAGGTTTGGGAGTATAAATCCCAGGGGAAGTGAGCTGAAGAACATTTTATGCATCACTCATCCTATTATGAGCCCTGTGCTGCTCCATCTCTCTACAAGGTAAGCAATATATTGTGAGTTGGCTTCCGGCAGTCGAGAATGATGTATGCTAATGTTCTTGCTTCAAAGTGTATGTTTTTGGAACTCATAATGGGGAGTACAGGAATCATTTTATAAGCAAAAGAATAATTGGAACAATTTAAGTTACTCACACACGCTCTAGCTTGCTCATCTGTCCCCAGGTAGTATTTGGTTGTTCTACCTTGGGACCCACATCCTGTAATGTTGTCTTCCTCATGTGAAATGAGGTGGTAAATTGGTCATTTTTATAATGAATTTGAGCAGAGTAGATGATCAAGGAAGATAATTCAGGCCTCAAAGTAGAAAACTGCCAGATTACCACCACTCTGCTATGTCTAGAGGTTGATATAATTAGAGTTTTAGTACATTGTGGGATCAAAAATTGATTCTAAGAGTTAAAATATAAGATGATAGAAAGTTCATGGTAATGTATAGAATTCCCTTAATATTGTTTTCTTTTTTGGTGTCCAATGGAAAATTCCTAATTCTTTTTTTCTTATTCTGAACTTTCAGATTGGCTGAAACAACCACCACAACAAAAATTGTTCATAATTTGTATTCTGACATTGGATCATCTAGTTAATACCCTAACTCTGATTCCCCAGAAAGACAATGCTCTATAAGAAAGACTGTCCATTAGAAGGTTGCTACTGCATTATTAGTAAAATAACAGGGAAAATGCAACATTCTGCATGTCCCATCTGATGAGGTAAGATTTTATCATGTCCCATAAAATGAGATTACATTTCATTTTATTTTTTACTATCCCAGGTTCAAAAAAGTTCTGCATTTCAATCTGAGACAGAAACCCATAACATATACATTGTCTCAGCTGTGACCAGCCTGAGACATTTAAAGCCAGGCTGTATAATGTATTTTATTTATGCATAAATTACATTATTTTTACAGTTTTTCATCCCTTCCAACTTAGAAAACTATAACTCAATGTACCCTGCATATTTAAATAAAATAAGTTATGTGCATTATAACTCTTACAGGGAGGGTAAGGCATACTATTCTCTAACCTTTGATGAGGTTTAACCTTTGATGTGTGAATTCTTAAATGTGAACAAACCACAGACAATGGAATACTTGGAAGTATTCTAAAGTTAAAGAGTTCTAAAAAGTTCTAAACTAAAGTTGAGAACTAAAGAGTTCATGGTAAATGGCAGCTTGTGTTTACTGTTATAATAATACAACAACTGCATGGGAAGAAAGAAGTACCCAAGACAGTGGAGAGGTGATGGAGGAGCTGGACACATGGGAAATTCCAGGTGCCTGTAGATACAGTATGAGGCTCCTCAAATACCTGGCCCTCTTTTTTTTGGTACATATTCTGTCGTCCATCAAAGTGCTTTATTCACAGTCCAAGAATATTAGTGTTTTCAACATCACTACCCTTTATGTTTACAGCAAAATCTCCCACAGTATGTAATGTATCTTATCCATGTCTGAGCAGCATGATAGTAGCCATTCTCTCTTTGGGTTTAAGCAAGCATGACTTTTCCTAAAATATTGCAAAGAGCAATTTCTAGTAGATAATTTGTAGTTTATAAAACATGATTTTTAGGGGACAAGTGGCAATTAATTGAATGAAGTGTAATTATATTCCATGTGAAAATAGTCTGGGATGCCAACTTTGGCGAGCCGAGTCTTTGACTCATTATCATTTTCTTTGCTTGCTTTGTTGTCATCCTTTGGTTCTTTCTGGATCCATCTCTCTTTTGTTTCCCTCTGACTCCTCTATTGTATTCCAGTTGGCAGTTAAAGAACAGAAACAGAGAAATAAGACTGCATGGCTACATTTTCCCAGTGCCACCAACTGGGAGTTAAGCTGACTAACATTTTGAAAGCCCAGCCCATTTCGTTCACAGCAGGCATGGCAGGTAAAAGCATTTCTGTATTGAAGTACACACTTCGCTTCTTCAGGTTCTTGGTCTAATTTCGCTTGTTTGCCAGTTGTGGGGAGAAATGAAAATAGGTCTCAACCAACTGCCTGGGGTATTTAATCAAATGCCCAGCAACTCTTAATGATAGGATGCAGAAATCTCACTTTCAAGGATTAACTGTGGGGATTTTGTCAGTCCAAATGGTATCCCCTTCTACGCAGCATGTTACTGGGCTACTTCCTACCCCTGACTAAATAAGATGTGGTAGAAGAGCTCCAAGTGGCTTAAGCAATACCTCCTGGGTTAGCAGATATCAAATATGCAGGGTGAAAATTTCCATTAAATATAAGTCTTTGCAAAGGTCCTCAAGCATCCATTTTACGTGTTATTTGTTGCTTCCGTTGGAACAAGGATTTGAGGATTGATTTCAGTGTGTTCTGTTAATTTGATTATTACTTCCTAAGTGGTAAGTATAAACTTCTTAAATATTTTATGAGGCTCAATTAATCAAGCCAATACCGTAACGCACATCCCAATATTGATCCTTGCGCTTTGGACCCGTCGCTCAGCCACGTTGATGCCTTTTTCTCAGGTCCTTGTAGAGGAGAGCTTAGGGAGCTGGAAGAGTGAGGGAAAACATCAGTCCTTCTCCCCGAGCAGCAGCTGGCATTGGAATTGTCTCCTGGGAGGGGATTTCCTTGGAAGTGGTGAAATTGGGATGAAAAATGCCGGTTTGCATTTATATTAATGTGTTTTTAAGGAAGCTTAAGGGCACTATACAAAAGTCATCCAGGAAGGATAAATGTAATATTACATTTAAGGTGGGAAGCCTAAAGCTCTGAGATGCTAAAAACTATTGTGATAATATCATAGCTCATTTATGAATAAATCAAAATATTCCTTAGCTAGTGCACATGTGCCTTTTGTTGAGATAAATTTTATGAAACCTCTCCTTTCACTGAAGGTAGAGTCTTTACATAGACCTTCTTACCATGGAGTATAACCTAGTTTACTTTGTTTTGTGTTCTATGACCATCCTATGGCTATTTCTCATCAGACTGGATCAAAAGTTGACAGAGGGAACAGTGGAAAGTTAAAATAACTTTTCTTTGAAATGTTAGCAAAATAAATATATATACATGAATAATTAAAAGCCAGTGGATGTCCACGCCATGACTGTTTCTGGAATCTTTTTAAGAGTGTGAGGTCCCGTCTATTTTAGTCACTAGACAAATTCTTTAGCCAATTTGCCCTCAAACTGGCAAAGATATTCTACTTATAAACGTCCCTTGAGGGGGTCCATGAAGAATCTCTGATACCCGTTTATTTTCTAAAGAAAGGTTCAGTATCAAAACATTCAGAATATTTCAAAGTTATCATGTACTTCTCTGCTTGACTAAAGCGACGTTGCCGTGGCTATAGCTAGAGTCTTTGGCTGAAGAAGGTTACCTTTTCCCTGTTTTTCAGAGATACAGAAATTTCTTGTTTTCCATTTCTACTTTGACAAGGGTTCCACACTTAAAAGCTTTGTCTCCCTGCATTTTCACACTTTCCCTCCTTGTTTCCACCTTTTCTAAAGATGAACTGCCGTGTTTTTACCTTCTTACCCCAATGTTTGTGTGCTTGGTGTATATTAAACCAAAGAAATTAAAAATTCAATAAATAGGGGGCTCTGTCTTCTTTGCTACAGGGTCTGGATATTTGTGTATATGTGTTTGTGTGTTATAATGTAAACTCTGCAGCTTAAGTTTAGTATACAAAGGTAGTAGTTAAACTGAAATTGAATTGACTGGTTTGAATTCCTGCTCTACCACTCACTAGCTGCGCTGTACGGACAGTTTCTAAACTTGCTTCTTCAGTTATAAAATGAGGAAAGTAATCATACCTACCCCTACTTGGTTGATGTAAAGATTAAATGGAATAATGAGTGTAAAGCACAATGCTTGGTAGGTGGTAAAAGGCCAATAAATCCTAGCAGTGATCTTTGGTATGACTATTATTTATTGCACATTAGTGCAGATACACACATACCCTGTATATGCAGTTTTCTACATAATTCAAAGAATGATGGCTAATCATAGGCAAAATTGTGAAAAGGCAGTATCCGCCCTCAGCACTGCCAGCTTATATTGAGAAGGAGCATTCTCCCCTTGCTCCCTTTGAATACCCAATACCCTGCCTCTCTTCTTCCCTTTACTGGGAAAACCGCCTTTCAAGTAAGGACCTGAAATTTAGCCACTCAAAGGTCTAGATGACTGAGAACATTTGAGGTGTTGCTCTTGTAAAGGTCACTGACCTCTTATCAAAGGTGGAATACCAAGCTGATGAGATTGCAGGCATCCAGCAACAGCTGGAGACATTTGTTTGGTGATGTGATCTCTCCGTTGCCTTCTGGAGATCTCCCCAGAGTGGGAACGGTTAACTGCGCTGGGGTAAAGTTAGTTCTGCTGCCCCGCTGGGGCTCTCCTGGGGGTTGTTTGACATCCTCAAAAGCTGCCTCTCTCAAAGCCTGGGCCATTTAGGAGTGTCTTGTCAGCTTTTCTATTTTTTTTTTTCATATATGTCTGTGGGTTTTGAATCTAGTTACGCCTTAGACCACAAGCAGTAGTCTTTTGAACATTCTTTCCTAATGCTCTTTTTAAATTTTGGGATATACATCCATTTTTTTCCTACCCACATCCCATCCATATATTCATTCTCGGTTGTCCATTGTATTTCTTTCACAAAGGCCTGTATTCATGATTTAAGTTTTTCACACATCAAGCTGTTATTCTGAGACATTTTTCTGAAATATTCTTCTTTTCTTTTTTTTTTGACATAACTCTGCCTGTATTTTCTACACACAGATTTGGGGATTCGAAGGACTGGGTATGCCTTCACCAGTAACATATGATTGGAAAACCATTTCATTTCTCAGCTTCAGTTGGTCAGGGAAGTGGTAAGAGAGGGCTCTGCTGTGGTGTTGTAAGAATCAGAGGACAGTGTTTTGTAAACTCACAAGTGGAGTAGAAGCTTTTTGGTTTCCTTTTCACCCATTATGACTACCTCCTCAAGCAATTTTTTTTTAAGGGAGGGCACGAAGAGACACATTATGCTTAGTAACTGGTGGAAGAAGAGATGGGATTCTCTCTCTTTGACATTTTTCCTTATTCCCTGAAATAGCTATTGTGTGCATTCTTCTGATATTCTGTCAGTTGCCTTCTGCTAGCATTATACCATGTAATGCAGAGACAGCCCAGGGAGAAATTCTCAGATGACGCTAGAAGAGGAGAGATGTCCACTGGTAAACAAAAGGGGCCTGTATGAATGGGCGAGATCCACGAACTGTTTCTCAAAGGATCCAGATCATTCTTTAGAACATCTGTATGCATCATGGTCAGGCTGAGATACTCCCAGGTCACTCCGAAGTTTAGACAGAGGCCATGATTCTGGAAAATATTTTTTCCAGATCCTCTACATCAGTGATAAAAGAGAATAGCTAATATTTATCAATACCTGCTATGTGAAAAAATCACTTTCAATAAGAATAACCGCTAATTGGGTTCTGGGTAGACACCAGGTAGGCACTGAGCTACAGACATGACCCAGTTGTCTAGTCCTTACAACAACCTGGTGGCACTGGTATTATTGTACTCATTTTATAAATGAGGAAACTGAGGGCTCTCTGACTCCATAGCCAGTGCTTTTGGATTTTCCCACAGGTCCTGAGATATAAATAGCATTGTGTACATTTTGCACATGAGGCAGGTTGAAAAACTTGTCCCAGTGGCTCCACGTGGAGGACCTGGACTCCCATCCAGGTCGGCCTTACCCTACACACTAGAAACACTGCCGTTCAGAGGGCTCCCATTCTCAGAAAGGACCTTTCTCTCCCTCTTAAGGTATGATCCGATGTGGATTAATACTGTCATAAGTTGGATAAAACTGAATTACTGACAAAATAAAATTAGAAAAGACATATAAAACACAACCAGTTCTTTATTATTCGATTCAACAAGCATAAAATTACCCTCACATTGCTACAGGTTCTTCCAAATGCTTGCTTGCAATTTCTGGCTTATGTCATGGTGGACCGATAACAAAACCACCTGCACCAGCATCGACGGATGCACGGGCAGTGCTTTGAGGAGCACGGCTGGAGGCCTTCGGGATATAAAGGTAAGGCAGCTTCCTCGCTCATTAACAGAAGTCTTGTAGCTGTAGATTTAATTTCAGTATTTACCCGTGAGGCCTTGCATAATAGCCAGGTTGGAAATATACTAAACCACAGTTTAAAGTTAAAAGTCACGGCCCTTAGTTTTTGTGTCTTTTCTCTAACCACAGTTAAATAGAATGTCTTAACAATATACCCCCAGGAATAAAATTCATTTTGTATGAAATATGGCTATTACGTGAATGCCTATCTTCTTGTAACCTACATAACCAAAAAATGTAGACCACTGTAAATTAGCTTATTTGGTATAATAGAGATAGCACAATATTGGAGGTAAATCACTTTCTTTCCAGAGGACCGGTTCATTGTTGTATTCATTAATTAATGTTCTCTCCTGCTGTCTCCAAGTAGGTTAAAGAAATTAAAAGAAGTATGATAACAAAGCCAACAAAGCAAATATTTCTGGTTAGTTCCCACAGTGACTAGAGAAATGCTTGTCACCTGTTTCTTCTTGTAGGGCAGAGCAAGTTAGCTTAGCAGTGGTCCCTTTTTCGGCATTCCTGAAAGCAGGTCTTAAAACAGAATGGCCACGAGAAACAGCGAACACATGTTTCCTGGGGGAGAACAGGGTCTGCAGCAGGTGCTTGTCTCCACATCCATCTGTAGAAGTGTCTGCAGGAAATAGATGAGGGAAAAGGCGTGATAAACAGAAAACGTGAGTTGCTATTTTTGATGTTTATTTAGCAACGTTATATCCCAGATTTCAGGACAAAGAGTAATTTTTGCCTGATTCCTGGCCCACCTCTCCAAGCACATGACTGCTGTTTGGATTGCTGTGTTTACA